TATATTCCCAACAGGAAGCCCACACAGCTGGGGGTGGGGTGGGATGTTCTCAATGGAAGACAGCCACTCTTCCCTTCCCACAGACCTTAATGATGCCCCAAACACAGTCTCATGTATTTGCCACTTGCCTCCAACAAGGAGAATTAGAATAGAAACAAATTCTGGTAGGGAAAGGTGAACTCCCAAAGACACAACTAAAAAGGGTCCAAGCTGATCTCGGTCTTACAGCTTTGATTCAGCTATTCCAATTGCTAATCCCTGTTGCTTTCCCTGGAGGGACCAGTGTTGAAATGTCCTTTAGGACCAGCTGGTGAGCACCTGGGCTTCCCCCACCACCTGATGAGCACCTGGGCTTTGCCCACCAACTGGTGAACACCTAGGCTTCCCTCACCTGCTGGTGAGCACCTGGGCTTCCCCCACCAGCCGCTCAGAGTCTGTCCACCTTCCCTAATGAATCAGGGAAGGCTACAAAATATATATCCATTGGTCTAACACCAGGTGAAGCCCTTAGGTCAGCAGGCCATGGACATGAGGGCAGACCCAGGACAGAGAAAAAAGGTTGTTTAGGTGGAAATATTTGGTTCTGACAAAAGAATTAGTCTCCAGGCAAGCTCACCAGCTCTCCTTCCTTAAGGTCCTAATTCCTCAGGTGTCTGCAGAGCCTCCCTGGGGCAGAGACCACATCCTTGGTGTTTGTGCTCCATAAACATTAGAGGAATGGCATCATTATCCTAATAAGTGGCCCAGGGACACACAGGTAACAGTGATGTTAGAAGGCCATGGTTCCCAGAGGCCCCCAGGAGACAGAAATCCAGGGTCCTCTGGCAAGAGTGAGCCACCACTCCACTCCCATCTTTGTACGTTCAGTGCAAGCTCTAAACAGACCTTGAGAGGTAACAATGCTAGGACAGTCTATGAACAGATTTACTGCTCTGGCTGGTAGTCTTGGAAGGGACATACACTCATAAGAACATGTTTCTTCTTAAGGAGCAAATAGAAAGGGCTCAGAGTAAGCTGGTGCGCAAACACAGGTTCCCTCAAGGTTGGCTACACTTTCCTGTTGTGGCCACATGGAAGAAAGTGGCTGAGGAGTCTCCCCGGTACCCACAAATGGTCATTATGTGGCCACTGAAACTTCAGTGGTTTGCACTTTTGCTGGGTGAGAAGGACCGGCTCTGGACCAGAGTTCTCTGGGCTGGAATCCAGACAGTTCCAAGGGACTGTCTTCTCCAGCCCGATGTCCCTGAGAACACATGGTCAAAACGACTCCTTCAGGAAAGCTGTCTGGGCATGTGAACTACTCCAGGGACAGTGATGGATATGAGGATGGGGCTAGGGGACAAAGTGGGGTCTTCCTGTGTCTCAGCCAACCTGGGATTCTGGTGACTTTACACCCTCCACTGGTACCCCAAACCTAGTCGCCCCCAGTTTGTTATGGAGTTCAAATCCGTCCTCGGGTGTGGGTTGAGGCCATCTCAGAAAGACTGTGTGAAAATTAATTACTTAATGTATGTAAAGAGCTTTGAAGATGAAAAGTGCAGTGCGGTGTCCCTAATAACATCTTCAACTCTTTACAGAGCCCGAGTCGCCTCTGAGCTCACCTTTAAGATGAGTCCTTGGGGAGTTGCTGGCAACCTCCCCAAGCCCATAAACAACATAAAATGGCTTTTCACTGCTTTTACACAGCCAACCCCAGCTCTCCCCACCAATAAAAGGACTGCAGAGGATCAGAGAGACCCAAAGGATTCCAAGCCTCATACTCTGCAGCCTACACCAAACCCCACAGCCACTTAGACGCCGGCATCCAGCTCACACCATGTCCTGTCGCTCCTACAGGATCAGCCCAGGATGTGGAGTTACCAGAAACTTCAGCTCCTGCTCGGCTGTGGCCCCCAAAACTGGCAACCGCTGCTGCATCAGTGCTGCTCCCTTCCGAGGAGTGTCCTGCTACAGGGGATTGACCGGCTTCAGCAGCCGAAGCCTCTGTAACCCGAGCCCTTGTGGGCCCCGCATGGCTGTTGGAGGCTTCCGCTCTGGCTCCTGTGGAAGAAGCTTCGGATACCGCTCTGGAGGTGTCTGTGGGCCCAGTCCCCCCTGCATCACCACTGTCTCTGTCAATGAGAGCCTGCTCACACCCCTCAACCTGGAGATCGACCCCAATGCTCAGTGTGTGAAGCATGAGGAGAAGGAACAGATCAAGTGCCTCAACAGCAAGTTCGCAGCCTTCATCGACAAGGTCAGTGTGGCCTGTGATGGCCCAGAGCAGACCCCAACCCTGACTTCTCTTTGGAAGGTCCCAGGCTGTTGGGAAGACGAACTGGCTGTCAGGTTAGGGAAGAAATGCAGGACCACATAAGTGATGGACTCATTGCCTTCATTTGGTACTTAGAAAGTTCATTATGTAGTCTAAAATCGAGTCTATGGTTTAATGTGTGTGCATGTACGTGTGCATGTGTGTATATCTGAGGACAATATGAAAAGGCAGGGTGTCCCTCCAAGCCTAGTTGAGGGCTGAGGATAGAAGAGTGGAAAACAATACCAACAGAAGCCATGGTTGGCTTGTGCCTAGGCAGCATGGGCTGTGGAGGGAAACTGCTTAGGTCACACTGCCTCCTCATGGGCTGGCTGTGACACTCAACAGTGTGACACTCCAAGCAGGATACAACCTTGAATAGTAGGACCTACCTCATGGGTTTATATGAGGATTTGGAAGCTTGATTTTGGAAAGCACAGGCCAATAGCAAGCATTCAATAAATGTCAATGGTGTCTCTTTTCCAAAGACAATAGTGGAAAGGAGGTATGACAGCTAACCGAGGGGTGGGGAGGGGGGCTGCAGGAGAGATGGGGAGGAGGCCTGCCTGAAGGACACCCATCAATGCTGGCAGAGTGTCAAAGTTGGGCAGCTGCCTCCCAAGGGGCTGTGGGGACAGAGTCTAAAATTGCTGATACTTTTTTTTGTGGTCTTAATAAATCCTCAAAATCACCCGATGGTTAGATCTTCATATCCATATTGTAATGACAAATGGAGCTGAGGCAGCTTGGGGCTGCTCAGACATACTGTGGGCCAGTGAAGGCAGTGGATGGAGTCATCACTCTATCAGTGAGTGTGAGCTGCCTTTTCATCCTCAGGAATCAGCTTCCCCATCCATAATGTGGAGGAAACGACATCTGCATCCATACACACACAGAGGCATGATAAATGAATGAGCTTCACAGACAAAGACACAGACATAGACACAAATATACAGACACAGGCAAAGACACAGATAAAGACACAGATACAAAAACTTAGAGATAGGCAGACAAAGACGTAAAAACTGAAGTAAACAAAGACATTGATATAGCAAAGGCAGAAGCAAAGACATGGACATAGAAAAAGTCTTAAACACAGACATAAACAGATCGGCATCCGAGTATTGTGTGTGTGTGGTGGTGGTGCAGTCCATGTGGTGGTGCACAGGCTGTGGTACGGATATGGTGTGTTATGGTATGATATTTTGTGTGTACATGTGTGGTGTGTGTGTGTGTGTGGTGTGGTGTGTGGCATGGTGAGAGTGTATGTAGTGTTTGTGGCATTGTATGTTGTGGTTTGGTGTGGTGTGTGTGCGTGTGGTGTGACGTGGCGTAGTGTGTGTGGTGTGTGTGTGCAGTGTGTGATATGTGTGTGTGTGACACTGTATGGTATGGTCTGGTGTGATCTGTGAGTATGTGTAGTGTATTGCGTGGAGTGGTATGGTGTAGTGTGTGTGGTATGTATATGCAGTGTGTGTGTGTATATGTGTGATATAGTATGTGTATGTGTTGTGTGTGTACACATGTGAGGTATGGGAGTGTGCACAGGTGTGTGGGCGTGTCCTAGCACAGACCTGGGTACCACAGAGTGAATGTTGGCCATGTGTTTATTGGGAAAGAATGACTGAAGGACCACTAGTAATTAAAGTAGCTTTATTGACTTGCTGTCATTGCTCCAGCTGGGACTGTTCTGAACAGTTTACATGTATGAACTGGCTCAGTCTTCACAGCTGTAGCACTGCTATCACGGAGTGAGAAGCTCCAAGAGGCTCAGCAGCTTGCCCGCCTACAGTCCCAGAGCTGGAATTAGAGCTGGACCTGGCTTTGAGCCAAGATCAAAGCTGTTCAGCCAGAATGAAAGGGCAAAGAGCTCTAGCAAAGCACACCATGCACACATCACACACACACACACACACACACACACACACACACCACACATACCACAATCCAAATGCCACACACCACACACCACACGCATATCATACCACACACACAACACACACACACACACACACACACACACACACACATCACACATACCACAATCCAAATGCCACACACACCCACACACCACACACCACACGCATATCATACCACACACACAACACATATACAAGCATATATATACACATATATGTAACACACCACACATACACAATTCAACGAACACACATGCAACAATTACATACACACCACATGTACACCACACAGACCACACACAATACATGCACACACACCACACACATACCACACACACACACATATACACATTACATATCACACACATACCACATATACACAGGTCCACATGCACACACACCACACATATACCACATGCATACACACACACACACACACACACACACACACACACACACACACTTCCTAAATTCCCACTAAGTCTCTTTGCTCCCCTGAATGGCAGGTGCGCTTCCTGGAGCAGCAGAACAAGCTGCTGGAGACCAAGTGGCAGTTCTACCAGAACCAGCGCTGCTGTGAGAGCAACCTGGAGCCGCTGTTTGGAGGCTACATCGAGACACTGAGGAGGGAGGCTGAGTGTGTGGAGGCTGACAGTGGGCGGCTGGCTGCTGAGCTCAACCATGTGCAGGAGGCCATGGAGGGCTACAAGAAGAAGTGAGTGTGAATGCCCACAGGATCTCAGAGCCACGTGGGTGGGAAACCTCTGCTGCAGCTTCTCAGGATCCCATAGGGCTTCCAGGGCCTCGGAGGGTGTGGGCAGCAGGACCTAGCTGTGCGAGTGAGAACTGGCTCCCAGGAAGTTAGGATCAGAATCCACATGGAAGTCCCAGGGCTGTCTTCCCCATTCCTTGCCTGCCTTCCTGCTCTGGGTGCTGGGCTGAGCGCTCTCCCTGTGAGCACAGTGATCTTGGACTCAAACTTGGGGTGGAATGTGCTATCAGGAAGCCACCTCAGAGGAAAGGGATGGGGAACGCAGCCCAGCTGAGACAAGACCTAGCCAAGAGCAATACACAAGCAGATCACACAAAGACACAGTCACACCACAAAGGGTTTAATCCCCTTTACAACCCCTGGAAGAACTTGACTAGGAGCTGAGGCAGGATCCAAGGCTCTGAGTTCTGTCTTTTCCCCACACCTAGGTATGAGGAAGAGGTGGCTCTGAGGGCTACGGCAGAGAATGAGTTTGTGGTTCTAAAGAAGGTAAGGTTCTGCTTACTGGGCAGGGAGGAAGGGGAGCCACCCTTGTGGCCGCCAGGCAGTCACCATAGTGGCTGGGCCACCTTCCCTTGAACCCTTCCATGTGTGCTTCCCTCCTCTCTGTCTCCTCCCAGGATGTGGACTGTGCTTACTTACGGAAATCAGACCTGGAGGCCAATGTGGAGGCCTTGGTGGAGGAGTCAAGCTTCCTGAAGCGTCTCTATGAAGAGGTAGAGACACTTATTCTTGTGCTAGCGTGGCTGGAGAAAAGAGGACAGAGATGGGGGGTGGGGGTTCAGGGTCCTAGGTCTGCAAGTGCTCAGTAATATGCCACATTTATAAAATTATCACCCCACACGTGTGAAAAGTCCCCAGTACATAGGTGTAGAGTGTTGGGTATACATATCTTCAGCGCATCTGTGTTCACATATATCAGGATAATAGTGCATATATGTATTTAGCTTCAGTGCCTGTGGGCATCTCTGTATGTTAGAGTGTGTTTGCATGCTAGACTATAGATAGATATGAAGGTATGTGGGGATACCATTATGGAGGTTCACTATGGACCAGTTACTATTTGCATCCAAACCCAGCCACTTTGCCTGAGACTTCCAGTCAGGCCTTTCCTAAACTTCACCCATTTTCAGAGGCTGACCCCGGGGTAATGTTTAGGGCTTCTAGCCTTGTGGTTTTATATTGTGCCTGTGTGTGAATGAAGGTGGAATTGCAGGATGCGCTGACCTTCCTCATCAGAGCTCCACCAGTGAATAAACACTGTCCCCAGGAATGGGACACCAGGCCCAAAATAGGCACCAAGTATAATGCTCTTACTGTTGACTCTGCAGGAGATTCGTGTTCTGCAAGCCCACATCTCAGACACTTCAGTCATTGTCAAGATGGACAACAGCCGGGACCTGAACATGGACTGTGTCGTGGCTGAGATCAAGGCTCAGTATGATGACGTTGCCAGCCGCAGCCGGGCAGAGGCCGAGTCCTGGTACCGCACCAAGGTGAGTGCCTCCTAGACATGCTTGTGGGAGCCTTGCAAGGTGTCTACTAGAAAAAGCTTCTTTCCCCTTAGGACTGGTAAGAGAAAAGCTGACTGCTCTGGTTGGGGTAGCCAGCCAGGGCTGCTTTGTGTAAATATTGCCATGCTGAGCACTGCACATGCTGCACACACTTTGGTATTATATGGAAGGGGTGGGTGGTTGTCCTACTTTCCTTCATAAGCATCTGTCCCCTGCACCCTGACTTCCAGTGTGAGGAGATGAAGGCCACTGTGATCCGGCACGGGGAGACCCTACGCCACACAAAGGAGGAGATGAATGAGCTGAACCGCATCATCCAGAGGCTGACGGCTGAGATTGAGAACGCCAAGTGCCAGGTGGGTCATGGGGCAGACTCATAAGCTGTAAGCACAGGCAGGCAATATCACCAGGTACATTGCCCACAAGAATGAAACCCCTATCTCTAATAAAGATGGAGAGGAAACAGGGACCCAGAGCAAAGCCAGGACTCCCCCATATCATACAGTGGTCATGCTGGGGTGAGGACCACTGACCTCAGAGAGCTGTAACCTCTTTCTCAGCCATTGCCCACCAGGAAGAAGATATGCTGAAAAACCATCTCCTCCTTGGGTTGCCAGCCCTATTAACTACTTGCCATGAACCCTCCTAGGGCTCCCTCTTCCCTTGCTCTAAGCACTAGAAGGAACCCAGCTGTGGCCCCACCCCACCCCCATCTTGTTCTAACAACCTCTCAACCCCACAGCGTGCCAAGCTGGAGACCGCTGTGGCTGAGGCAGAGCAGCAGGGAGAGGCTGCCCTCACTGATGCCCGCTGCAAGCTGGCTGAGCTGGAGGCTGCCCTACAGAAGGCCAAGCAGGACATGGCCTGCCTGCTCAAGGAGTACCAGGAGGTGATGAACTCCAAGCTGGGGTTGGACATCGAGATCGCCACCTACAGGCGCCTGCTGGAGGGCGAGGAGCACAGGTGAGCTGAGAAGAACCATGTGGGGATTCATTTGAGGGCCAAACTGTCTTGCACAAACAAGCTGGCTAGGGACTGTCAGTCCTTGTATGGAAGTGGCAGAGACTCTGGTGCTCCTGGTGAACAGTCTTGGGCACAAGTGTGACACACAGCTCTGACCACCCTACTCCAGGCCAGGCTTCAGTAATAATGGTTACCTATCACATAGCCTATGCTCTATGTCAAGTGCCTGTTTATAATTCTCCATCCTGGCAGGTAAGTACCATTTTCCCTATCCAAAAGCAGAGGACAGTTGGCTCAATGTTCAGCACCTTTCCCATGGCCACCAAGTTACTAAGCTGCAGAGCTGGGACCCAACAATAGGTCCTGGGCTTCTAAAGCCCATTCATAGCTTCTCTTAAGGCCGGGGTCATATGCAATAAGGACGATGTACCCTGTACACACATAGCTCTGCCTCATCCTTACTGTGAGCACTATTGGTGTTGAGCAGGCTCAAGCACCCTGATGGCAGGCAGTGTGTAGAAGTCACAATTCCGCTCACTACTGCTCTAAAGCAGGAGGGCTGGTCTTCATGGATGAGGAACTCTTTAAAGAAAGAATATGAACATCCATGAAGATTTGGGGAGTCCTTCCTGCCTCTCAGGAGATAGAGCCAACCTAGAACAAAAGCTGACCTTGTCTGTCCCCAAGCAACTGTCTCAAGGAATCCAGCTCACTGCTTGGAAGTAATAGCACTTTCTTTTCTCCTTAGGCTGTGCGAGGGTGTGGGCTCTGTGAATGTCTGTAAGTATCTGCTGGAAATGCCCTTAGAAAAATGGTTTGGGGGATGGGCAAAGCTGCACCATGGGCCTACCCCACTGACCTCCAATGTTTCCCAACTTTCAAAGTCTTTACTCTTCACCGGCTCCTCCTTTAGTGCATGCAGGGGAGGGTTGCCTGTGGGGGTGGGAGGTTGGGGTGATGTCCAAAAAGTTGAACTCCCCTTACTGGTAGGCATTAGAAACTGCAGTCCAGGGAAATAGATCCAGGAATCATCACATCTCTCCAGATGGGCTATGAGATTGAAAGAACAGAAACTGTCATGTTAACCACTGATCCCTTGAGGAGGAGGCAGGCCCTGCATGTGAAGCCCTCAGGGAACTGTGGTGGGTTGGTAACACTACAGCAAGCCCCTTACCCCTCCCTACTCCTCTTCCCACAGGTGTCAGCAGCTCCCGTGGTGGAGTCACATGTGGGGGCCTCACATATGGCACAACCCCAGGGCGCCAGATTGCCTCTGGTCCCTCTGCCACCGGGGGCAGCATCACAGGGATGGCCCCTGACTCCTGCTCTCCTTGCCAGCCACGATCCTCCAGCTTTAGCTGTGGGAGCAGCCGCTCAGTGCGCTTTGCTTAGCGCCAGGACCTCCAACTGAGTCACCTGTCTGCCCATGAATAGAGTGATGGTGATGTGTGAATGGAAAATGTGTGCTTGCTTCCAGAATATTCCAGATGTTCCTATAGGAGGAAAGAGCTCAGGGCCACTCTCCTCCACCTTCTCCTTTTAGGGGGTTGTTTCTCAGTTCTCCTCTGGCTTCACTTTAGAAGGTTATTCCCAACCTGTCCCTTAAGTCCAGCCTGTCTGTCTTCAAACACTTATAATTGATTTGTATCATTCACCAAGCCCTTGGAGATTCTACTGGTCACACCGGGTGGCAGGACAATGAAGCTTGGCCTTCTTGGGTCAAGTCACAATCATAACCACCAGCCATTACCCCAACACCAAGAACCAGAGGGAAACTTCCCCAAGCAGCTCCCACTTCTGGCCCCAGGTACATGGCCTCAGAGGCAGCAAGCACCTGCCTATCATTGGTTGTGTTTGCTTACCTCCCGGACTGACTGCCTTCCCAGGGGCAACATGCTGTAGCCATACTTCTTGAGTTGCCTCCCAGAAAACAGTCTGCTCTCTGGGGAGTCCTGCTACCTACAGTCTCTGGATGGGGAGCTTTGAACAGGTCTTGCTATTCAGGACACCTTTACACATTTCAAAGACTCCATACTTGCTCCAGGCCTCCCCTGCCTGTGCGGAAGGGAACTGCCCACTGGAGAGCTGATGGGATGGGGCTATGAGGCCACTTTCCGGTTCTGTCTGTAGGTGCCTTGCCTTCTGGGTTGACCCATCTGTGTTTCAATAAATACTGCTGCCATGCAAGGGTGTGTGATATTTTGTGCCAGTCTCACTACTCCCTCTTCTCTGCCTGCCCCAGCCAACCAATACTAGGCCAGCCCCACACTGGTAACAGCATTTTAGAAAAGCCAGTATCCTATGTCCCAGGGTAACCTTCTCACTCATCCCTGTGACTCCTCTTCTTCTAGTCCATTCCCACAGCCTGATCCATGTGTCCTCATCTGTCCCTAAAGGCCTGGAGCACAGCTCCAGCTCCCCTTGTAGCATCCTCCCCTCAAAATAAGCCACCCTGCTGTCTTAGTTAAGATCACTATTGCTGTGATGAAACACCATGACCAAACCAACTTGGGGAGGAAAGGGTTTATTTGTCTTGTATTTCCATATCACCATTCATCAGAGAGGGAACTCTAACAGGGCATGAACATGGAAGCAACAGCTGATGCAGAAACCATGGAGGAGTGCTGCTTACCGCTTGTTCCCATTAACTGCTGGTTTGCTTGCTTGCTTGCTTGCTTGACTGATTGACTGATTGATTGATTGCTTTGTAGGGATGAAAACTGAACCCCAGCCCATGCATATGCGAGTCAAGCACTCTACCACTCCAGCTACACCCCTAAACATTTGTTTTTGTTTTTGTTTTTGTTTCATTTTCCATTTTGAGGGTTTTACTGCCTTGCCTAGGCAAGCCTTGAATTTGTCATCTTCCTGCCTCAGCCTGCCAGGACCAACCATCTCTTCTACACATTCCCAGTCCTTAGCACAGAGGCTGAAGGAACAAAACAAAATAGCTCCTTTCTTTGTGTGTCTTTTTACTACCCAATCTGAAACAAACTGACTGTCTGGTGACTCTCCACACTACCCATTCCCCATGTTTGGAAATCAGAGTCCCCTCCTATCCTCCAGGAGTCAAAGACTCTGTGTGTGTGTGTGTGTGTGTGTGTGTGTGTGTGTGTCATTGTTTGTTTGTTTGTTTGGTTTTTGAGACAGGGTCTAACGTACCCCAGGCTGGCCTTGAACTCACTACACCCCTGAGCCTTATCTTGAACTCTTGATCCTCCTGCCTCCATATTCTGAGTGTTAGGATCACAACACCACGCCATTGTCCCCTGCTTGTTGTGTGCTTTTATACACTGAAAGCACTTCCGTAGCATGTTGTTGACACAAAACTATATTATTTAATGTATACAAGGGGGAGGTTTAGGCATAAGCTCCGAGTCTGGAGCAAGCTAGCAGGAGACTGAGCTCTTCAGGCAATGATCCTCACTTCCAAGTTGAAAAACAGTTAAAGAGGAAAAAAGCAGGTTGTTTCAGAAAAAAAAAAAACTGTAAGGAGACAAAAGCCTGGTGAAACTTCTAGAGCCCAGGTTCTATGTTCCAATGTGGAAGCAGTTTCATGGAATTTTTCTAGTAACAGAACAAAGGAAGTTATAAATCAAGGCATTTAAAAAAATAACATTGGTGGGAACATGAATTGGTCATCTATAGCAAGCAGATGAATCTCAACTCTAGGCCTCAGATGCTATCTGGAAGCACTTAGTTCTTCCATTGGCGGAGAATAGTGTTTTGTTAATACCAAATAAACATCCTGTTTATCAAGATGTTATGTTTGATACAGAGGTGGGCAAGGAATTTATAATTAGGCTATCAGATAAGCAACATTTCAAACACCCTAATAGTCATTGAAGTTTTTTTATCAGTCTATCAGCCTGTGCAGACAGCTTCTCTCCAGGAATTCATACAAAGTGGGGGAAGGGATAAACTAAGAACCTGGATGGGCACAGGCATTCCAAAGGGTAAGTAAAACACAGCAAACAAACTCAAGAATCCAGAGACAACACTAGGGTCTCTGCATACCCTGGTCAGCAGAAAGCCTTTGGATAGCAGGAAACCAAGATGATGAGACTGCCAGTGTGCCAGAAAAAGATCTGAGAATCCTACTTTTATAAGGTGTGGTGGATTGAATGAGGATGGCCCCCATAGGCTCATATATTTCAATGCTTGACCCCAGTTGGTGGAACTGTTTGGAAAGGATTAGGAGGTGTGGCCTTATTGGAGGTAGTGTTTCGCTGGTGTTGGGCTTTGAGATTTCAAAAGACTATGCCAACTCCAGTCTGGTTCTCTTTCTGTCTCCTGCCTGTGGGGGTCAATGTAAGCTTTCAGCAACTGCTTCAGCACCACACCTGCCTGCCTCCTACCATGCTCCCCATCATGGTGGTCATGGACTCAACTTCTGAAACTGTAAGCAAGCCCCCAATTAAATACTTTCTCTTATATGTTGTCTTGGCCATGGTGTTTCATCACAGCAATAGAACAGTAACCTAGACAGTATACTTGCAAGTACATTGACCACAAGGTCCTCTAGAGTGGGTACAAATGATTCCATCTGCTTTGATATCTCTATAGGGTGGTGCTCCTTGGGCAGCTCAGAGGCAAAGTGTCCTAACCTGTGAGATGCTGCAACAGCTTCTTTGCCCTGGACCTAGACAGCACTTGGGGGAGGGGGGTCACATGCACCTGGGACCAAAGGACCTGCCCTATGTGGAGTCTTGAGAAGAGAGCTGGATCCATCTCAGGCTGATACTAATTGAGGTAATACACATATCTCTCTGAGCCATCTCCCAATCAGCTAGTCTCTGGAATTGGGGTTATCAGAAGAGAGCACCCACTTCTGAACTGAAGAAGGGGACTTGGGCTTCCCTAAAAAGTCCCTGAATCTGATGGGCCTAGGACACAGAGTCATAATTTCTAAAATAAGCTAGCCTTATCTAGATGCTGGGACATCTGCAGAGTAACCAGAATCTTGACTGTGGGACAGGCTGAGGCTGGGAGAGGGAGTGGCTGTTTCATGTGACCCTGGGTTTGCACCTGAGACCCAACACAGAGCACACAGCACTTCAAGAGCTGTGCATCTGGCCACCACCACCATACACCATGGTGGGAAAAGGCCTGGTTGCTGAGTGGCTAGATCTGTAGCTGCTGGAGCAGCAGTAGGTCACAGGTTACAGGCAGCAAAGAGAATGAGACTAGAACCACCAAGGCCTGTCCTACATTTCCTCCAGCTAGCCCCACCTCCCAAAGTTCCCAGTAAGGGACATTTCACCTTCTGCCTATACTAGGAGGCATTCACACAGGCCTGTGTCCAGAGCAGTAATCAAAAGCCCTCTGCTGCTCAGTCCCCAGGAGAGGAAGAATCAACTTCCCGGAGAACACTGGCTGGCCCAGACAGCACCCAGAGGGATTTCAGGTATACTTGAGGCTCTGGAATCCACCCTGAGAGGTCCTGAAGAAAGCAGGCTCTGGGGGGTGGTCATAGGAGGTGCAGAGTGGAGGCCCTTAGGGGACAGGTGATGGGGGAGGTCCTTCTGTGTATATGATTGTCTTATTGGTTGATAAATAAGTACTGCTGGCCAATAGGAAAACAAGGTAGGTGGGACTAGGAGTCAAGGAGGATTCTGGGAAAGGTAGGAGAAAGCACAGAGTCGCAATGTGAGCCTGGGAAGACAGGATGCTTGCTGCTGGCATCCAATAAGTCTTATAAAATATAGATTTATGATAATTAAGACTAAGCTAGCAGATGAGAAATCCTAGTCATTGACCAAGCAGCATTTGTACCTAATATAAGTCTCTCTGTGTTACTTGGGACCTTAACGTGGTGGCGGGCAAAACTTGGGCGGCCTGGCGGAAAGCACCCACGTGGCAGCAAGACTCAGGCAGTTTGGCGGAAAGACTTATTGTTACAGACAGAGACAAGGCCCCAGTGTGTCCCCAAAGACGTGGACAACCAATGGACTAAAACTACAGGGACTGGGCTTTGGACACTACCTGAGGTCTGCTTCCAGGCTGTACTAGCCAGAGCTTTCTTGTCTTGGATCCTACAAGAACAGGATCCAGGGGAGTAGGAACAGGATAGAATATTCAGGTAACAAAAACACTTTCCATGGCCATTTCCCTGACTCCCTCTAGGGGCTTCCTAGCTACACTATACCTCTACTCAACAGACTCAACACCCTCCTACACCCATATCCACACTGAAACCCCTTCCTTCACACTCCCACACCCGCACACCCTTATCTTTGGGAAAGGGGAGGACAGGGAAGCTGTGTGTGTCACCAAAAATCTTTAAAAGGTGCAATAGGATTGCTTCAATGTTCCCACTAGAGGGCTCCCTCACCCAGAGTCAGCTCCCCTGAGCCAGTTCTTTAGGATACCATCAGGGAAAACCCTTTGCC